ATGACATTAGTTGAAATTAGATTAAGTTAAAATTATGAGAAATTATAAGGTAAAAAGTGGAAATTAAGATGGTCAAAAGAAATTACAGAAATTAAAAATTATGAGGTAGTAGGTCAAATTTTGAGATACAAAGACATATGAGATAAAAAAAAACAAGAGTTGTGATATAAAAAGGCCATAATTATAAAAAAAAACTCATCTCAAACTTATCTCATAATTTTGGCCTTTTCTACTGAATTTCTATGACATGAACTTTATCTTTAACTTAATCTCAGAAGTATGATTTTTAACTTTTAATACTATAAGTTTGACTTGATGTCAATTTAGATATACAATAACATGATTAATTTTTCTTAAGTTGTAGAAACCGTTACATACGTTCCTGCTACTATTATAACTGGCCATAACTTTTAAAAATCTGATCACAAATGAGATGTGGGCGTTGATACATGTATTTGAGCATGATAATTCATCATATCATCAACAAGATAAACCATTACCAATTTATGAATACAGCTCAACATACCAACAATATAAGATGTCTGGTTATCAGTGCATCACTTGAGAAGATGCTGAACACACTCAAATCTCATGGTGATGGCTACTGTCACTCATGTTTCTTGTTATCATCAGCTGTCGTTGAAAATGAATGATGTTTAGTTGCTTTGGCGGTGCTAGTTGTCGAAAGGGCTTTCAGTGTTTAAAGGGCAGTAAGCGATTTCTGAGCTCAGAAACACACTTGTAGCCAATCAGCAGTAAGGGACGTGTGAATTTGGGGGCGGGGCCATCAAGATAGGGGTGTGATCCTTGTTTGTTTTGGTGATTTGACCATGTTTAAATCCATTTTAAATGCAGAGTTTTGTCTAAATAGTGCAGAAAATGAAATGACATTAATATGGTAGTTTAAAGAGAATAGTTTGCATTTTTCTCCATCCTCTGGCTCTTGATGCACATACTAATTTGATTTGATTTAATATTTCATTGTCTATCTGTGTATGCATTCCAAGCATTCACAAATGCTCATACACATTCACAGTTTTTCACGTGCGTGTCCAGATGTAATGAGCAGGAGTGGAGCTGAGCGCTGAGCTCATTTGTCTGGGTGTTGTCAGGTGTGTGAGCTCTCTCTGCTGTCACTGGGGATTATTTCAGGCTGTCTGCTCTCTGTGTGCCCGAATAAACAGCATGTGCACTCACATATGCCAATGCCATACATTTCAATATAGGCAGGCTGTGCGTGTATGTGTGTGCGTGATCTTTTGCGTTTGAGAGTGAGGTCAATTAATTTGAACCTCTCTATTCCCCATGATCCTCCTGCATATAAAAACATCACATACATCCCATATGGATTAGTGCTTTAATCACCTGAATAAATGGCCTTGACCTCTGCAGATGTGTGGGTGAGAGGGGTCAGCGTGCCTCCGCATACGTCATGGCAATGACCTTCTGCTTCAGGATGGATTAGAGTTCGGTGTGCTCTTTGCACTTTGCATGATGGGAATCCCGGACTAGGAGTACCTCTCTAGTTTATTAGACTTGGTTTAAGCACTTTCCAAGCTATTTTAAAGTCACTAAACTACAATTAGGCTTTTTTGAAAATGTATTATTCAATTTTTCATTGGACATTGGATTTTATATTTAAAAATATATTTTAGTGTGTGTTTAAATCTTTTATTAAATTGTTTTGTTTTGTGTATTTTTTTATTTGTTCGTTATATTGTTTTAACACAATTAAAAATTAGATAATATAGGTGTTCGAAGCCTATTTCCACCGGTGAAACTCGAAAAAGTTCATTTTTTTTCAGTAATTCAACTTAAAAGGTGAAACTAATATATTATATAGACTCAGTACATTCAAAGTGAGATATTTCAAGCCTTTATTTGTTATAATTTTGAATAAAATTAGAATATTCTGAAAAGGTTTTCATAGCTGTAAGCATAATCATCAAAATTATAACAAATAAATGTTTGAAATATCTCACTTGTTATACTTGTTAATATCTCACGTCATTATTATGGGATAAGTTAAAATTAGATAAAGTAATATTTATGAGATACATTTGAATTTATGACGTAAAAGGTCAAAATTATAAAGATAAAAAGTGAAAATTAAGACTGTCAAAATAAAGATGAAAAGAATAAGTAAAAGTTATCATTTTGACATGTGTGAAATTATGAGATACTGTGTAATTTTATGTGATGCTTAGTCATATTATGAGCTAAAACGACCGATAATAGTAATTATATATAATTTATAATGTTATTAAATAAATTAGCAGTATAATCTACAACCATATTTTTCTGATGAATGAATGAATGAACAAATTAATCTCAATTAGTGTGACAGCATTAAACATAATGAATTTATATGAAATACAACAACAAAAATTAGAATTCACCCTCCTACCAAAGAGAGAGAGATGTATTTGTTTGTATTTAGGAATAAAAACTAGTTTATGAATTAAAATTTTGAATCAGTGTTTATTATTATTGATTCAGTTCACTTTTACAGAGATTTTGATTATTGGGTCTGTTGGCTTGGCTGTAAAATACACGTATAATGAATTGCAACATCAAAAACACCAATGTATTTATTTATTTTTTGCTCACTAACTTGCTACTCTTTCACTACTAACATTGATTGGTTAGCCTTGATACTTTTTCTGAAAATTGTAGTTAAATTGGTAGCATTGATACATTTAGTCAATTGCTCTCTAACATGCTTGTGTACGTGATACACATCACGTCTTTCAACAGAAGTCCCCTTACTCTCTGCCCGTATGTATTTCTGTATGTCGCTCCTTGTTCTGTGTTGTTTCCCCCTGTGATCTGCACCTCTTCATCTGTCTGTCCCCATGATTTGTGTGTGAGGTAAATGGTGTGTGTTTGTTGTCAGCAAGGGTGCAGCGAGCAAGAGCAAAGGCTATTGATCCACGCTGACCATACACTCAACCAAACAGCTGTCGTCCTGACAGCGCAAGACAAATGAAGCATCAGATTCACCATGTTGACTGACCTATTCCCATCCACAACAGAGAGAGAGAGAGAGAGAGAGAGAGAGAGAGAGAGCACACCTCATGAACAGATGCATAAGCCTAGAGGATTGTTATTGATTACTAATGTCCATCCCTGCACTCGGCTTTATCCCAGTCGGGGTCCCCTGAGGTCCATCGTATTAATATTAAAATCCAGGACACAACAGAATGTTTTTCTCCTGCTTCTTTCTCTATATTTAACAGAAATCTTCATTTTTTCCCCCACAAAACAGTGTCTAGAAGTGGGTCAGATTGGGTGAAAACAACATGAAGAGCTTACTGCCATGGATTGAACAATTCTAGCTGGATTTTCTCTGTGAACATGAATAATAGCACAGTACAGCACTGTTCACTTAGAGCCTACATCACATCCAAATTGACCCCGTTACTTACCTAAGGTTTTGACTTTGTAAACTGGAAATTGATTGCATTGTAAAAAGTGAGCGTTTCATACCAAAACGGTGCTAAAACTGAATTTGAATATGCTAAACTAAAGCAATGCCTAAATATCTGTTGGCTATTGGTTTATATTATTCAAAAGCCAGTAGCTATGTTACTATCCACCTATTTTTATGAGATATCACATTAAAAAGCGCTGGATAAAGCGGCAAGATGTTCATTAATGAAAAAAATAAAATTATGCATATTAAACATATTAACTCAATTGAGGCAGATCAGTTTTTATCCAATGGGAAAGCGCATAGACTCCGATGGAAACACTTTACCGAATACATTTATGATCAATTATATCAATTAGGGAATTTGAGTATCGCTTTAGTTTGTTTGTTTCATTTGATTCAGTTCTGATTCATTATGGTATGTTTCTGTTGTAGTAGTTTTGCTTACATAAGAAGGAAATGCTTTGCTCATTGTGGAGTGGACAGAGCAGTGTTGCAGACTTATCTTTTTGAACTAGTCATAAAAAGAATTGGATCATAAGATTAGTTTGGGATTTGTCTGCATTGGTCACACTTTCGGAAACGCGCACTGAATTTGCAATTTGTCTCATATTGTGTTTAGCCTACTAGATAAGTATTACATTATATTATTTAAATAATTCCACATAGAAAGAATAATTCCACACATCAGACTACACTGTTGTATGTTTGATTTTATGTGATCGGGAGAAGATCACAAATAAACAGAAATCTGTATTTTTTCCCAACCCTATTGTAAAAAAATATTGTTGGTTTAACTTAAAAAAATGAAGTAACCTTAAAAGTTCATTGAAATGGAAAAATTGAGTTAATACAATGAAGGAGATTTATTTAATCATCAGAAACTCAAAATATTATGTCATCTGAACTACATAAATTATTTAAGTTGATTTGACAAAAGAAAAAATGTTGTGATTACAAATCATGAGAATATTTTTTTTTACAGTGTATCAAATCTGAAAACTCTCACTCATCATTGTGTGTTGTAAGCTCGGGTTGGCTGGTCTGCGCTGTCCATCCGAAGACAAAAACACTGGCATGTTTTTATTTATAAATCCATCCTGGGTTTATTACCATCATATCTTTGTACATATATCTGTAAAAAGTATCCTTCTAGCTATAGCCTCCGATCACAGGACATATTTTTACTGTCTGTTCCAGTGGTACGAACTGAATTTGGGGAAAAGGCATTTAAATTTGCTGCTCCCTCTGCCTGGAATTGTTTACAAAGTACGTTGAAACTGAGGAAACTGGTTTCGTTGGACACTTTTAAATCAATTTTAAATGATTTAGAGAATGAAACATCGGGCTGTAGATGTTTTAGCTAGTTCTGTATTTGATTTTGAAATTGTATTTGAGTTGCTTGTGTGTATATATGTGTTTGTATTATTGGATGTTATTTGTTACACTCAAATGTGCTGTGTCTGTCAGTTTTGGCCAGGACGCTCTTGTAAAAGAGATTTTTAATCTCAATGTGCTTCTTTCCTGGTAAAATAAAGGTTAAAAAAAAAAAAGTACAATACCATTCAAAAGCTTTTGTTTTTGAAAGAAGACCCTGATTCTCACCAAGGCTTCATTTATTAGATCAAAAATACAATAACAACAGCAATATTTGTAATACACTGTACACGCAAACACGCCACCAAACACCGACAGCCTCTAGGACCCTGCGATACACTGATGCTAGAGCCAAGGAGAGAGGGGGAAAGTGGGGGGTGGATTGGAGCGCAAAAAGACAGTGGAGGAGGGAAAGACAGAAGTGGAGAGGAAGATGCAAAGAGCCGCTCCGATGCTGTAGTTTGGAAGTCTCGCCGGCAAGACTTAAAAGAGCATTGGTGGTATAAATACCCGGCGTAAACAGGATTAAAAGAGCAACTACTGACTCCATCAGAGAAGTGTGAAGTGAGAGAGACAGGCAGAGAGAGAGAGAGAGAGAGAGAGAGAGAGTAAAGTGTAAGCATCAGCAGCGGTGTGTACTGCAGTGTGTGTCTACACACTCACACAGGAGCTCGCTTTATTACAACGCTCAACTCAGGAGGCAAGAACTGTCACTCTTCTACTCTAACACCATCCCGTCTCTCTCTTTCTCCACCAGACTTGCTTATACTCACAAATGGAGAATATGTCTTGATGCTAAAAGTTCAAACTGGGCCGCCGGATTCATCTTTTGCTCCATTCAGTTCCTCCACACACTTCCCCGACACCGGAGGTCAGCATCAGATGAGAGAGGTAAGTGTTGCTCATCTTTTGTTATGAAAATGCGTTTTAATCAGTATTGTCCAGGATATTCATTGGGTGTATTCAAGTGTTATTTGTATTTCTCTGTGGAAATATATTATTTGATGTCACATCCTGGACATTTCTTTTTTTTGAAAATTTTATTTAGCTTTTTTCAAATACAATAACTGACATAAGACACAACATAAAGAAGACAGCAGCAACAACTACAGAACGACAACTATAATATAGTAATATAATAATAATAATAAATTATAATAATAAACGAAAAAGGGAGATACAATGTTAGACAGTTAGGAAATGATATCCTGGACATTTCTGTCATTTTGCTGTGCTGTTATTCAGACCTCTAACTTCTTATTTTTCTGCGAAATTCATTCAGTCAAAGCTCTTCTGTGCCTCTTGCATGGGGGGTAATGATTATTCTGGCTATGATAACACATGCAAGCTTTGCCGTTATTATTGTGTCAGACTTTAGAGATGTTGCTCAGCAGAACGTGTGTGTGCTTGAACACTATTGTTCAGCAGAACTGCATCAAAGAAACACATTTCTATTGTTAGTCACTGAATCTGCAGTCCAGCGTCGCCTCTGTAGTGATTCATGTGGCAGATGCTCCCTAGAGATCATGTTTAGATAATGCATTAACACAATTACTCAAAGTGAAATATATTTGGTATTTAATAAAAAGTGACACTCTTTGCTCCTCACCCTCATGACACCCCTCACACACACAAACACTCTTAGAAGAAACGGTTCTATTTAGAAGCAAAAATGGTTCCATCCCCCGCTTCATATATGGAACTCCAAAATGGTTCTATATAGAACCTTTTTTTTGGTAAAAGGTTCTATTGGCCAAGTGTGGGACATATAGAACCAGAGGAACCCTTTTTTAAGAGTGTATAGAACCTTTTAGGGGTTCCAAATACTTAGCGCTGATAGAACCTTTTCAGGTTCTATATAGAACCTTTTCTTCTAACAGTGAACCATTAAATTCGGTCTCTACAAATCATACTTCCAGATTACAATAAAGAGGAGATTATTTCATGGCATACGGTCCTGTGCGTTATTATCCCTGAAGTCTCAGTGCACCCCCCTCTTATGCACAAATCTCACTACTAATCTAAACTGTCCTGTAGACACACACACACACACTTTTGTTTATCAGCGCTGTGCTGTCACATGCAGTGTGTTGCCTGATTCCCCTGCCTGCTGCATGCTGGTGAGATAACCTTTTACTTAGCACGAGTAATAAACAATTAGCCGGTGATTATGTGCGACGTGAGAGGGTTTCTCATTTGATTAAATGTGTTCTCGGTGATTCAGAGCATCTCAGAGATGAGTGTCATATGTGTGTCTGCTTTATTGGTATTATGAAGTGTTCTCAGATTTTTTTTATTATTGTCATGCATTGAATTGTGTGTCATCGGGATGGGCATTTGTTTGTGTGTGTGTGTGCTCTGACTCAGATGATGGAGGAAAAGGCTAGTAAGAGGTCAGGCCACCGAGAGCTTGTTCCTTCTTTCCTCTGGTCTGTTTCACACCGCTCGCATTAGCCGCACGTAAGAGAAGTAAGAGAAGCTACCGAGGCTCGTGTTCTGCTTTCACATTGTGTTACCAAACTGCATCCTTACACCACAAACCGAGGGGTTTCTAGATTACAACTTTGAATATTTTCAATATTTTCAACATTTAATAGTGAATGCATGGTATAGCATTGTGAAGAACTATACTACCCATCAAATCCTAAAGCATCTGAGAATTTGTTATTATAATATAGGCCTATATATATATATATATATATATATATATATGTGTGTGTGTGTGTGTGTGTGTGTGTGTGTGTATTGAAAATTATTATGATTAATAACCATTATTTTAGATTAAAAGGTCATGATATGAGAAATCTTTTGAGGTCGTTGAACCATTCAAACATCTTTCAAAGCTTAAAGTGTCCTAATTATAAACTAGTATTTATTAATTTAATCAAGCTCCAAAAACAGCTCATTGTTGTCATATGACCACCTCCGGAGAAAGACATTAATGAACACCCTCATCACACCATAGGCTCTACATTGTGTGTGTGTGTGTGTGTGGTCCTGGTGTTGTGGACAAAACCGACAATTTTTGGTCCCCACGAGGAAAGCAGCTTATAAATCATACTATTAGAAATTATGTTTTCTAAACATAAAAATTAAGTTTTCATAAAAAATTATGTTTTCTAAAAATGTAAAAAAGGTTTTCTGTGAGGGTTGTGTTTAGTGTTAGGGGAGAGAATATACAGTTTGTACAGTATACAAATCATTATGAATGGAAAGTCCCCATAAAACATGAAAACCCAACGTGTGTGTGTCATTTACCGTGCCGTCTGTCACTGTGCGTAACATATTCAACTTTGTTCTCTCCATTATTTTATATCATAAAAGCCTACATTGCAAACAATTGGGTTGATTAATAGGTTTTAAGGTTTGACACAAAAATATAGTTTATTTCTCTGAGTGTAGCATACTGCTTGTGACAAAAATAGGCGTCGCATTGAAACCCTACTTGCAGATCTACTTCTGGTTCCAGTGTTGTGCTGGTTACTCCGCTATAACCTGTTAATACGAAACTGAAATAAATGTGTCGATTACACAGGCTGAAGTAGATCTGAAATATGTTCCCCTACCACATCCAATTTGAGTGTCAGCAAAAAGCCTGGAGGCTTGTTTGGTTTCTTGTTTGTTTGAGTCTTTTCATTAAAAAAAAAAAGCCCTCTGGCAAATAGGAAGCTAGTACAGTACACACACCTCAACTACTTTACCACATAAAGGGATGTGTCATAAGAGCACAATGCACCAGCAGTTCTGATTGATCGTGTTTTGCTCCCTATGCACAGCACAGCCATCACGTTTTGTAGCCGTCTCGGTTAACAAGCGCTGGCATGAGATGAGAAGACCCATCTCACACTAAATGAGAATGAAATAGAGGTCTGAACCCAAGGCATCTGCTTCACGCCCATCGGCCCCTGACTAAACATGTTTTTGCTTTATAGGAAACTTCACATGCATTTTAGGATAATAACGTGTGCGGATGTATCTTCCCAAACGTGTAATGAGAAATCTGTCAACAAATGAGAAGCTTTAAGAGCTCCCTGCAGTTTTCAGCCAATGTAAAAGCTGTGTGGTTTAACATTTGAAAATGAATTAAGACAGTATTGTAATTTTACAGTCTTTTGGGTAACACTTTACTTGAAGGGGTGTGCATAAGACTAACATGACACCTTCATAATCATGACATGACAAATGTTATGAATATGAAGGAAGTTTTATGCATGTTTGTGACAACTTCGCTCAGTTATGATATTTTTAATGCAAATATGACATTGTTTAAGATGTTGTAAATGATGTATTGGTTTATGTCAAGATGTCATAATAAATACATCTCAAACAATGTCATATTTGCATTAAAAATGTCATTATTGAGCAGACATGCATGCATAAACCCTACTACATATTCAAGACATATGTCATGTCATGGTTATAAAGGTGTCATGTCAGTCTTATGCACACCCCTTCAAGTAAAGTGTTACCGTCTTTAACTTTAATATTAATTTTCTATTTTACAGGGAAATACTACTATAGTAACATTGCATTTTATAATTGAGTATTTAGAATAATACTACTAATAAATATTAAACACAATAAGAAATATTGCTTTTGTATGATTTTATTTGTTTTATTTCGTTGGCCAAATTGTGCAGCCCCTATAAACAAGCACAGCAAACCTAAAGCCGGTTTAAATCGACATCACAATTTTTATCAGAAAAGTCGCAATTACATTTTAGAAAAGCCCCTGTAGAAAAGTAGAAAAGTATTTATTTTTCAACTGCTCCACTGAACATCATTTTTATCAATGTTTGTTCAGTAAACCCTCAAATTGCATGTCCACGTTTGTGAGATATGGTGCAGTGGAGGATATATGTTGCCTTCAAACAACCGTAAAGGCATCTCTTGTCAACAGGATGTTTGAGATTGCAGTCGGACGTGCCTTGATGCCTTCAAAAATCCGCAAACTGCCCGTGAAAGCAGCATTATTCATCTTTTGGACACTACAGCAACATGCACAAAAGATTTCAGATGCACAACCAGAAATCAAACCCAAACTGAAGAAATTCAGTGCAATTAGATGAAAGAAGTCTTCTATTCTTTATTGTCACCAGTATAGAAATGTCAAGCCCCGGTGCCCTTTTCTGCACCCAAGTGGATCAACAAGAATAATGAGATGTCCCATTATAATCAGATTATAGATAATGAGAAAGAGTCAGACACATAGACACACAGAGTTCATGGCTCATAGACAAACACACACAGTCCATGGTAGGGAAATCCCCCTACAGCGCCTGTATGCTCTCTCTCCCTCTCTCTCTCTCTCTCTCTCTGGCACAGCTGGTGTGAGGCACAACGGGGCCTGAGGGATGACAGAAATCACCCAGCTAAGATATGTGCAAATGGCTCCTCTGAAACACTGAGTGCTCTGCCCAACTCAAGGGAGAGATTGAGAGTCAAGGGGAGAGAAGCAGAAATGACAGGGAAAAGAAGGGAGTACAGGCTGAGGAAGGGTACTGGTAAAAAAGGCACTGACAAAAAGTATGACATTTCCAGGTTTTTGTTTATGGTGCCATGTACCTTTACCAATTAATACCTTATAGGATTAATTGCGCTGTCATATTCCTCATCTGTTAAAGGCGTAGTTCACTTTTCAAAAAACTTTTGCTGATAATTTACTCCAGATGTCCATGTCTTTCTTTCTTCAGTCGAAAAGAAATTAAGGTTTTTGATTAAACATTCCAGCATTTTTCTCCATATAATGGACTTCAATGGGAACCAAACGGTTCAAGGTCCAAATGACAGTTTCAGTGCAAACTACAAACTGTTCAAAGGGCTTTAAGCGATTCCAGACGATGAATAAGGGTCTTATCAAGCGTAACAATCGCTCATTTAATAAACAAATA